AGCAGCAGCAGCAGCAGCAGCAGCAGCAGCAGCAGGCTGACTTTGTGTAGAACAGCATTCAGAGGAATGAGGAGGCAGCACCAGAAGCAGCAGCAAATTGTCGAACCGAAGCTAACACTCAGCAAATGCACACGGTCCCTTGCAAACGCTGCTGCTGCTCCTCCTCCGCTGTTGCTGCTGCGCCTCTGCCGCTGCTGCTGCTGCTGCTGCTGGGGGGCAGCAGTTGTACCGCTGCTGCATTGCTGCTGCAGTGGCTGCTGCTCTGGCTGCTGCTCCTGCTCCTGCTCCTGCTGCTGCTCCTGCTGCTGCTGCTGCTCCTGCTGCTGCTCCTCTTCTGGTTGCTGCTGCAGCAGCGGCAACAGCCGCCCGCTGTGCTCTTCTGCATCACTCTGCTGTTGCTGTTGCTGCTGCTCCTGCTCTCTGTAAGAGCGCAGCACCAACTCCTTTACTACAAAAGACAGAGCCGCGGGGGCTGTAGAGAGAGCAACAAGGGCAGCCATCCATGTGCTGCTGCTGCTGCTGCTGTTGCTGCTGCTGCTGTTGCTGCTGCTGCCGCCGCCGCTGCTTATTGTAAGAGGCATTAATATTGTGGGGATGTCCACTGGAAGCGGTGCTGCTGCTTGCAGCTGCTGCTTCGCTGCAGCGGCAGCAGCAGCAGCAGAATCTGCTGCTGCATCAAGAACGCCTTGCCACCCACCCAAGCCCGCAGCACCAGCAGCAGCACCCACAGCAGCAGCAGCAGCAGCAGCAGCAGCAGCATGTAGCGTCTTCCAAGCAACAGCAAACCCTAAGAAGTTAAGAGCCAGCGCTGCTGCATGCAGCAGCGAATAACGCCGGCGTAGCAGCAAGACAGAGAAGAGACAAGAGAAAGGAACAGTGGCTTGCGTCAGCAGCGCATAGATAGGCCCTGCACACAAACCCTAAACCCTAAACCCTAAACCCTAAACCCTAAACCCTAAACCCTAAGCACCCCGGGATTCGTACATACGGACAAACACTCCGCAGCAGCAGCAAAAGAAGCAGACGCAGCAGAAGCAGGAACAGCAGCAACAGAAAGCCAATGCAAGCAGCAAATGCAGCAGCAGCAGCAACAGCAGCAGCACTAGCAGTTGCAGCATAAAAGATATAGCAGAGGCAGTATACGGCAACAGAAGCAGCAACAGGAGCAGCAGGAGCTGAACGAGGAGCAGCAGAAACGAAACGGGAGCAGCAAAGGCAGCAACAGCAGCAGCAACAGCAGCAGCAACAGCAGCAGCAGCAGCAGCAGCAGACCTGGTATATACGGCTGCGCAGCAAAGCCTGCTGTCATAGCTAAGGCCTCAAGGGAGCCGCCAAGCAGCAGCAGCAGCAGCACTTTCCTGCTGCAGAAAAACTTCAACTCGCGGTGGCGCAGCAAACCGCAATAATACGCCACACCCTAAACACATAAACCCTAAACCCTAAACCCTAAACCCTAAACCCTAAACCCTAACTCTAAACCCTAATACCTGAGGAAGACCTACGTACTGGTAAAAAATGCAGCAAGCATATCCTTCATGCCGCAACCCCTAACAGACGGCAAAGGGCTTAGGGTTTATGGCTTATGGCTTAAGGTTTAGGGTTTAGGGTTTAGGGTTTAGGGTTTAGGGTTTACGAGCATGAGGCCATATACGAGGGAGTGCAGTGCAGAGTTAGCGAGTGAAACGAAGACATTAAAACGGCCCAAAGGGACCGAGCGAATTCTGCCGCTAACTTCATTGAGGCTGCCGAAGCAAACTACTGCTGCTGCTAGCCACAACACTCTGCTGCTGCTGCTGCTGCTGCTGCTGCTGCTGCTGCTGGTGTTGATGGTGCTGCTGCCGCTGGAGAGGGGACTTCCAGGCAGGGGATATATCCGGCTGTGGGAGTTGAGAGGGCGTACTATGACGTAGCCTTCTTCATTGCTGCTGCTGCTGCTGCTGCTGCTGTTGCCGTCGCTGCTGTTGCTGCCGTTGCTCCCGATGCTGCTGTTCGTGTGCGTGCCCTTCAGAGTGTTGTTGTTGTTGCTGTTGCTGACGCTGCTGTTGTTGTTGCTGCTGTTGCTGCTACTGCTACCGTTGCCGCTGCTGCTGCTGCTGCTGCTGCAGCACGGCGGCCCCATTACCGCCACTCATTAGTTGCTGTTTTGAAATTTTGTTTGTTTTCTTCTTTATTAATTCTTTAAAAATGCATCTATGCACACCGAACACCGAACCCTCTGCTGCTGCTGCTGCTGCTGCTACTGCTGCTGCTGCTGCTGCTGCTGCCTTCCATTGAGACGCGGGGCCCCCAGGGGCCCCCCTACGGGACTGGGTCTGTCTGTTTGCATGCAAAGTCGCAGTTATTAGTTGAAATAAAAGAAAATAAAACAAAGTCTAATTGATAGAGACAGAAGCTGCAGCAGCAATCGCTGCTGCTGTTGGTTGTGCTGCAACTGTAGCTGTTACGGCAGCACAAGCAACAGCAGCAGCTGCTGCTGCTGCTGGCTGCGCAGCAGCAGCTGCTGCTGATCCATTTCCCCTGATATGTTTTATTCTGACCTAATAGTTGGCTGCAGCAAATCCATGAAGGCGCCGGGGCGCACTTGCTGCCACGTGCAGCAGCAGCAGCAGCAGCAGCAGCAGCAATGAGAAGACAGCAGCACGCACAGGAGCAGCACTCTGTGGGGTTGCTGTTGCTGCCGCTGTTGCTGCTGCTGCTGTGTTCGGAGACCAATCCAACTTTAGCAGCAGCAGTAGCAGTACCAGCAGCAGCAAGCTGCTTCCTGGGGCCTCTCCCCTTCACTGTAAGACCAGCAACAGCAGCAGCCGCAGCAGCAGCAGCAGCAGCAGCAGCACCAGCAGCAGCAGATTTATTGGATAACTCTGAATGGGTTCGGCAGCTGCAGACATTTGGTTTAGTTGCTGCTGATGTCTCCGAGGCGGTAGCGAGAGGGGGAGGCCCAGGGGGCAGCAAAATAAACAGCAGCAGCAACTGCTGCTGCCTCCGCTGCAGCAAACACAAAATATACGTCAGATGCCACTCCTATAGGTACAGAAACCTGCTGCTGCTGTTGCTGCAGCTGCCGGTGCTTCAGATGCTGCTGTTGTTGCTGCTGCAGTTGGTGCGTGCACCTGTCGCTGCTACTGCTGCTGTTGCTGCTTCAGATGCTGCTGCTGCTGCTGTTGTTGTTGCTGCTGCCAGGCCTCTATCTGATAACCGCCGAGAAGCGCGACGCCGTTTGCTGCTGCTGCTCCAGCGGAAGCAGCAGCAGCAACAGCACGAAGAGAAGCAGCTCGTCCAGGTGGGCCCTTCTGCTGCTGCTGCTGCTTTTGCCGTTGCTGATGCAGCACATGCTGCTGCTGCGATGTTGTTGGCTGGCGGCTCCGTTTCTTGTGCTGCTGCTGCTGCTGCTGCATGGCTTGCCTGTGCTGTTGGGGTATTGTTGCTGCAGCTGCAGCTGCGCCAGCAGAGGAGACCAACGGAGCAGCAACAGCAAAATACGCGGCGGTGGAAGGCAGCAAGAAAAGCAGTGAAGCAGCAGCGGCAGCAGCAGCCCTCCTACCTAGACTGAGTGCTGCAGCAGCAGCTGCTGCTGCTGCTACTGCTGCAGCTTCTATTCCCTGCGCTGCAGTTGCCGCTGCAGTTGCTGAAGTCGTTCCCGCTGCAGTTGCTGCTGCTGTTGCAGTTGCTGCCGCTGGAGAATTTGCTGCTGGAGGTGCTGCTGCTGCTGCAGGAGCTGTTCGTGCTGCTGCTGCTGTTGATTTCGTTGTTGCTGCTTCAGCGCTGCTGCATACAGCCGCGGGTGCTGCTGCTGCAGCAGCGGTAGCCACGAGGCCCGCCGCAGCAGAAAGCTCAAGTCAGGCCCCACTGCAGCAATTGCTGCTGCTGCTGCCTGCTGCCGCAGCTCTTCCCTTAGTGTGCCGTTGCTGCTGCTGCTGTTGCTGCTCTGAGAATCAGCAAGGTGGTGCGGCAGCAGCAACAGCGGTTGCTGCTGTTGCAGCTGTAGCAAACACAAGCGCCTGAGCGGCAGCAACAGCAGCAACAGCAGCAGCAGCACAGAATGTAAACAATAGCGGGAAGAAGGTCCGAAGGACATATATGAGGGTTTAGGGTTTGAGCTAGGGTTTAGGGTTTGAGCGAGGGTTTAGGGTTTGGGGTTTACACCTACAGGGCCATCTTCGCTCTTAGGCGCGTAGGGCAGTTTATAAATACATCGCTGATAGAACGCAGCAAACCCTAAACCCTAAACCCTAAACCCCCACCCTTAAACCCTTAGCCGTCATGGGAGCCCTTCCCTGGCAAAAGCTTCGCTGTTATTCTGATTTAGGGTTTAGTGTTTAGGGTTTTGCGTTTAGGGCTAAGGTTTACGGCTAGAGGTTAGGGTTTGCGGCTTAGGGGTAGGGTTTACGGTCTCGGGTGTAGGGCTAGGGTTTAGGGCTTAGGGTTTACCGCTTTGTCGCGACCTCCACGCACATGCCGCAGCCTTTGAGGGCCAAAGGGGCCGTCAGTCCAAACCCTGAAACCGCAAACCCTAAACCCTAAACCCTAAACCCTAAGGCACATCCTAGCAGTACCCATAGCCCGGCTATACGGCTCAGGGTGTAGGGTTTAGGGTTTAGGGTTTACTTAGGGTTTGGCTTGAGAATCCGCTGGCGTCCTTGAGGTTGAGCGCAGCCACCTAAAGAAGACACAAAACACTAAACCCTAAAATGAGGGTTAGCCCTGTAGGGTTTAGGGTTTTAGGGTGTAGGGTCTAGGGTTTGAGCTTTTAGGATACAGGGTTTAGGGTTTAGGGTTTTAGGGTTTAGGGTTTGGCGGACGACGGCATCCAGGTGTTGCGCCTGCTGCTGCTGCTGCGCGAGACTCGCTGCTGTTGCTGTTGCTGCAGCCTGCTGCTGCTGCTTGTTTTCTAAGCCTCTCATGAATAGCTGCAGAGGCTCTTCTGCTGTTGCTGCTGCTGCGCGTGTGGCTGCTGCTGCTGCTGCATTTTCTGTTGCTGCTTCTGCTGCTTCTGCTGCTGCTGCTGCTGTTGCTGGCAGCACCCAGGAAGGTCCCCCTGAGAGCTGCAGCACCGCGGAAGTCAGCTGAAGACATTCGATGTCTGCAGCAAACCACAAACCCCAAACCCTAAACCCTAAACCCTAAACCCCAGCTTTTACTCCCCGCCACCACGTAAAGCTGCAAATCTAAAGGTTTAGGGTATAGGGTTTACGGCCCAGATAGGGTCTACGGTCTAGGGTTTAGGGTTTGGGGTTTGCTTGTCGTGTGCTGGGGTTTAGGGTTCAAGGTTCAGGGTTCTGGCGCACCTGCGCTGCTGCTGCTGCTGCTTGTACATCCCTTTGTTTGTTGCTGCAGCAGCTGCTGCAGCAGTAAATTCGCGCGCTGCTGCCACTCCGGCACCTGCTGCTCAGTTTGCTGCCGCTGCTGCTGCTGCTGCTGTCGGTCGCATAGCAACAAATGCAGCACAGCTGCTACAGAGGGACGAGCCGGCAGCTCTGCTGCCTCTCCTCTCCAGCAGTAGCTTAAACTGCTGCAGCAGCTGCTGCTGATGCTGCTGCTTCTCGTGAAGGGCTGCAGTTGCCGCAGCAGCTCCGCGATCAAAGCATCGAATTGCAAAGGCTGCAGCAGCCCTACACGCGCCTCCGCGAGAAGCTGCAGCAGCAGGAAGCTGCAGGTACACCTCAGTGGTTGCTGCTCTATACGCACGAGCAGCAGCGGCAGCTGCTGCTGCAGCAGTAGCAGCAGCTGCCGATGTGGCAGCCAACGCGAATGCAGCAGTTGCTGCAGCAGCAGCAGCACTGCAGCGACGCCTTCTCCATCCTTCAGTAAGGCCGTACTACCGTCGTGTTTCTGTGTTGCTGCTGTGGTTGCTGCTGCTGCTTTTGCTGCTGCCTCATGTGAGCCGCAGCAAGCAAGTCGCAGCAGCAAATCTACTGCTGCACACTCTTCATACTGCCAACTTGCTGCAGTCACTAACTGTGCTGGTGCTGCCTTTTCGGTTGGTATCGCAGCTCCTTCCGGTTCTGCTGCTGCTGCTGCTGCACTTGCTGGGTTTGCTGCTGCCGCTGATGCTTCTGGATCTGCTGCTGCTGTTGCTGTAGCTGCAGCTGGAGCTGCTGCTGCTGCTGCTAGCGGGTACGAAAGCTTTCGGAGGAGTTCTCCAGCTTCTTGTTCAACCTGGCGCTCCAAGGGCTGTGGGGTGCATGTGCTCTGCTGCTGCTGCTGCTGCTGCTGCTGCTGCTGCTGTTTGACTATCAGGTTTCTCACGACGGCCAGTGCGCTGGCAGCGCTTTCCTCCGTTATATCGCTTGCTGCTGCCAGCGCTCCAAGGGGGCCTTCAAGCGCCGCCTTTCGTGCGGCTGCTGCTACTGCTGTTGCTGCTGTTGTTGCTGTTGCTGGTGCTGCTTCGGGCTCTGCTGATGGGGGGCTGGAAGCAGCAGCGCAAGAGGTGATGTAACGAGTTGCTGGTCTGAGCCCGCGCAGAGCAGGAGCGCCAGCAGCAACAGGAGCAGCAGCAGCACGCCCAGAGAGAGCAGCAGCAGCTGCTTCAGTTCTTATCTTGAGAGCAGCAACGGAAGCAGGCGCAGCTACAGGTCTACGAGTGTGTAGCTGCCGCAGGGAAAGCCTCCGCACAGCTACCGCTGCCGTTGCTGCTGCTGCTGCTGCTGCCTCCGCCGTTTTGTGCATATCTTTGCGTTTTAAATATATTAAAAGAGTTAAAGGAGCCCCCAGAAGAGAACAAAACCTAAAAAGTAACTATAGAAGGAGAAGCCGTTAGAGCCTCGCCGGTTGGCTTCGCCGTGAGCAACCGAACGAGTTAAGCAGTCGCGCCCTTCTCCTGAAGCTCCAGTAAGAAAATGACTTAAAAACTATCTAATGAATTAAATATAAATTGATTTAAGACTAAAAACACTGGTGAAATATCCTGCTGCTGCTGCATGCACTGGCTGGCTCAACGGCGGGGCCCCTGCAGCCCCACCACGAAGGACAGCAGCAGAAGAACGAAGGAGAGCAGCAGCAACAACTGACGCCAGTCTTGTGGATATGCACAGCACAATTTAACGAAAGCAAGCAAAAACAGCAGCAGAAAGAAAAGCTTCAACAACAGTAGCAACAACAGCAGCAGGAGTTCTCCCAGCTGCACGACGCGACGGTCATCGGCATAGACAGCAGGAGGACTCTCAACATCTGCAGCAACAGTAGCAACTGCAACAGCAGCAGCAAGAGGATCAGCTGCAGCAGGGACACCAACAACAGCAGGAGCAACAGCAGCAGCAGGGACTACAACAGCAGCAGCAGCAGCAGCGAAAATGGAGATTGAGGACAACAACACTCAGCTGGAGCCAGTGACGTACATCTGCGGCGGTGAGCAGAGTCCTAAGAAGACCCTATAGAGCGTTTATCTATCGTCATCTTGCTGTTGCTGCTGCATCTCGTTTGAATTAAATCCTTATATGTCTTTTGTTATTGTTTTCTCTGCTTTGTCTGTCCCTGCAGAATGCGGATGCGACGTCACGCTGCAGCCAACGGCTGCAGTTCGCTGCCGTAGCTGCGGCAGCCGCATTTTGTACAAGAAGAGATCGCGAAAGAGTAAGAAGAAGAGGAAAACCCTGAAGTGTTTATAATGCACCATTGTAAAAATAAAGAAAACTTAACCTTGCTTCTCCATTAAGTAGGGCCTGTCTATGCATGCATGCATACATTAATGTGGGCCTTCTGCATGGATTATTCATACTTGTTTATTTTGCTGCTGTTGCTGTCTGCTGCTGCTGCAGTGATGCAATATGAAGCCAGGTGATGCCGGCCGACTCCTCTTGCTGCTGGAGCCTAAACAAACGCAGACCGAACTGCTCGTGCTGCTGCTGCTGCTGCACTGGTGGCAGCAGCAACCGCAGCATCTGCAGTAACCACAGCACCTACAGCAGCAGCAGCAACAGCGGCACCAGCCGCAGCCTCTGCTTCTAGAGACCTCGTTTGCACCCGCATGCGAATGACGCAGCTTGAGAGGGGCTGGTGTCCTTTTGCTTTTATTTTTTAATTCGGAGATTTTCGCGTTGAGTTTACCACCAGAGACTGCCAATTAAAGTCTTGCATTCAGAAAAGGTGTTTTTGCGTTTTGTTGTGGAGGCACACGGCGAAGGTTTAGCCTAAACAAATAAATGAGTATTCTTTAAAATATACAAGAAATAAATATAAATAAATAGGAATAAATATATAAAACATAAATGCCCCGATAAATGCACTTAAAATTTTATAAGATTAAATGAATTGAAGCGGACAGAAGAAGGGAGAGAAGCTGTGCGATAGGTGGCTTCGGGTTTAATGCTGATTAGGAGTTGTTGCGATGCATCTTTAGAGCTGAAGGTCCTCAAGGACATAAACCTTCTGCTGCTGCTGCTGCTGCTGCTGCTGCTGTTGCTGTTTGCCGCTCTCTACGCGTATAGTGATGCGTTTGGTATCGTGTATCTCTTCTTCGTCAATGATGCTGCCGCAGCAGAAGCTGTCGGAGTCTTCGCTCTCTCTGTGCCCTTGAAGCGTTTCTTTTGCTGCTTCTTTCAGCAGCAGGGCGTGATGCCGCAGCACCGCAGGCAGCGGCTCGAGGCGGCGGTCTGTGGGATTGGCTGCTGGTTGCAGCGGTAGCGAGTGTCTCGTTTCGGGTAGAGAAGGGGGGAGGGGCATTGGAGGTTCTTCAGTGGCGAAGCTGAAGAGCCTTTTGGGGGTTATCTTGCCGTAGTTCGGCCCGAATAAGAACACCCGACGCTCCAGCTCATGCAAAGCCGTGTGCAGCGCCGCAATCGCCTCCACGCAGCTTCTCCTCTTGAACGGGCACTTGTGAATATCCAGCAGCTGCAACACACGCATGTATGCGATTGTTCAGCGATTAGAAAGCCTCTCGTGTGTCAGTGCATGCATGCATGCATGCATGCAGGCATGCACGCACGCAGGGCTGCATTAGACGCACCGCTCTGTCTCGCAGTCTCACAAGCCAACGCTTCAGCTGTAGATAAACAAAGTAAGAGCAGAACTTCGTCTCCTTCTCTCGACTTTGCAGCAGCAGCCTGGGTACAGCGCAGGCCATCGTGGCTATCCTCTTTGCGTATGTGCACTGCATACAGTCGCTGTTTGTTCCGGTTTTCGCTTCTGCATCTGCTGCTGCGTCTGCTGCTGCTTCTGCTTACTATGTAATGAACTGCCTTTCTCTTAACTCCGTTCATATTGACTCACCCATTGCTGCAGCAGCCTCTTTCTCTTCTCGCTCTAGGGTCTCTCTTATCTTTTCAATCGCAGCCTCAAAGCAATTGACTGTCGCGTAGCCGAGAATACGAATGAGACGGCCGCTGCAGTATGCATCCTGCAATTAGAAAAGCAGCAATTCACATCCCATTGCATCGTTATCCCGCTGTATTTGCATTCAAATATTTTATTCAAGCCAACTCACCTCAAAGATCTGGAGAGTCGGCACGTTAAAGAGAGTCAGCGGTCTGTCTTGCAGCAGAGCACGCGTACGAAGCAGAACACCCTCAGCATCAAGCGGCGGTGCATCTCCTCTACGGGGCGAGAGGACGTCTATTTTGGGGTGCCAATTGCTTGCGTTTTCTTCTTCTTCAGTAGGAGGGGGAGGCGGCGGGGGCTGCTCGCGAGAGCCCACGTGATTGAACTGACAGTTTGGCAGTGTGCAGCAGCCGTCTCGCAACAGCAGCGGGCACGGTGCGATTATTAGACTCGGAATTACTCTAAGAGGAGGCGCTGCTGATGTCCTCTTCATTTCTATTTGACGCGCGTACCCTTGCACGCACAGCACTTGCTGGTTAAGGGCCCACAGAACGGTGTTCTGCGCCCCAGGAAAGGCTTCCGTGCATGCGTTTGCTGCTGGTGTTCCCTCGTCTTTGTCTGGAGATTTTAAGTACGTCTTCTCCGTCGCCGTTTCCTGAGCAACCGGGGCTGCTGCTGCTGCTACAGCTGCTGCAGGTGCCCCTGCTGCTTTCGCAGCCTCTTCAGCAGCTTCCCCTTCAAGCAGCACGCATTCACTGTCACTGGTTTCTTCTGATAGCCACAACAGACGGTCTCTGTTTCGAGGGGCCCTCGGCATTCCCCTTCTTTCATGATGTTGAGACTCCGCAGGAACCTGCAGAAGAAATGTAGAAGGGGATAGCCGGCGTCGCCGCCGCCGCCGTGGGTTTCGTTCAGCCATCTCGGTAAAGGAAAAAAAGCGGAAACTGAAGCTTAAAACGGAAATAAAAAAAAGAGAATTGGGGAAGTGGGATCAGGAGTAAATAATCAAGAACAAAAACTAATTGCGATCACCACAGAATACAAAAAGAAACAACAAAAGCCTCTTCACTTTCAAAAACTTGCCTACAGAAAAGATGATGAACAACGGAAAGCTGAATTTTGCGTTCATGTCTGCGGTGTACGTGCTCCTGAATGTATGCTGGTGTTGGTTTCGGTTTATATGAAGAAACGTTTTTTATATTTCAATACTGGCTCCACTCAGCTATTTACTAAGTCACGCTGATGCATTTAATTTATATTTAAAATGGCAAAGAGATGATCTACTTTCGGATTCTTCGTCTTTCTCCCTGACTTGCAAAACTAAGCGATTTGAGGACTTCGGCCTCATATTTCATGATTTCAATGAATATTTTTCAATAAAATTCTGTTTCAATAAAATTGTAAGGTTCTTAGAGCCTACTGGCGATGCCTGCGTTCATTCAATTTGGAAAGAAACGCCAAAAGGCATCAATGCGATGCCGGTTCCAGCAGGAACCGCCGGAGGACTTGAAAGAATAAATAGCGAAGCCGACTTCACATCTATTAAAGCAGCTCTCTTGAGGTTGAGACAGATGAGGAAATCCTTTTCTTTGCGTATATTTCACCTCAGGCCACTCGTAAACCCAAAAGGAGGATACGGAGCGTGTAAGTGCAAGCACAAGCACAAACACATACAGCACCTTCCCCCAATACAAATCATTAGTCGTACAGCGCAGGCAATCCCTCAGCTGCTGCATAAACAGCTGAAACACCTCGGAGAGCTCAGCAGCCTCTCATACCATCTTTCTGCCCTCAAATATCACAATTCAAAGTGGATATACAACAAAGGGCTCGACAGGATACAACAACAAGTGCATGCAGAAAGAGTTCGACAGCGTGTCGCTGTCTCGCACTCAGGTCTGCAAGTAAAGGCACTCCTAATGACTATCCAATACCATCATACTCTCCACAATCAGCATGACGATGCATGCATGCATACATGCATGCATACACGCATGCGCGCGTCCGACACCCGTCTTCCAGGCGGAAGGACTCCACAGAATAAAAGAAAGATGGCTCCTAAGTTGTCTGTCTTCTTGCGAAGGGTTTTCTTAGGGTTTCCTGTTGCCAGCAAAGGTGAGTTCTGCATGGTTTGTTGTGTGTACTTCTTTGTTTATATTACCGTTAATTAGGCCTGTGGCTGTGGGGGCTGTTTCTTTTCGCTGGCTTGGGTTTCCATGTATTTTGTCCTGGGATAGTATTTTCTAAGGAGATCTTCTTTAATTTTTTTCAGCATATCTTCAGGGAAAGTACGCAACAGCTCCCACGCTATGTCAAGACTTTGGTATATATCGCGGCCTTCATAGGCCCCCTGCTGCAGGAAGCGCCGTTCAAATTTATCTGTAAACTCCATGTACAGCATGTCGTCTGCAGACAAAGCCTCCTCACCAACCACTGCCTTCATCGCCCGTGTGTCCTGTCCTATGGCGTAGTTTGCGTACAGCTGCAGCACGAAAAAACAATCGCAGCAGCACCAGCAGCAGTAGCAGCAACAGCAGCGGAAGCAACAATAAAGCAGCAATAAGGCAAATAAACCCCGCTGTCTCTCCATCAGCAAACACAATAGAGAAATATACTCAAGTATCTGTTTCTAAGCCTACAGCCATCATATGAAAGAAGCTAACTAACGACTAACAGCACACAGCAAAGAGTTTGCTCTACCAGAGGTATTTGGGGCTTTATACAAAATATCAATGATAACATACAAAGAATAGGAATAAGGAGAAGAAGAGGGAGAAACAAGGAAATAGTAGAAACAAACACTCTAAACGAAGAATGACTACAACAAATAACAATTAGAAATGATAAATAACTCAAAACAACGAAAACAAAAAGTACAGCTAGAAAGGAGATAAAAACTGTAGAATAAAGAGAATAAAGAGTAATAAAAGACAATAAGAACGAACAAGAAAAATATAATAAAAGGTGAAAAGAAGAAGAAATTGTTGTACCTGATCAGAGACAGCTGGATGGTCTTCTCTCGTCATTCCTTTTCCTATGCCGCTTTTCATAAGTCTGCTGAGGGATGGTAAGACATTAATAGGGGGGTATATTTGTCTATTATGAAGAGCTCTATCAACAAAGATCTGTCCTTCTGTAATATAACCTGTTAGATCTGGTATAGGGTGTGTAATATCATCATTCGGCATTGTTAGAATAGGAAATTGAGTTATTGAGCCGTTCCGGCCTTCTACTCTGCCTGCACGCTCATATATAGTTGATAAATCTGTATACATATAACCAGGATATCCTCTTCTTCCTGGGACTTCTTCTCTTGCTGCAGAGACTTCTCTGAGCGCATCTGCATATGCAGACATATCCGTAAGTATAACAAATACATGCATTTCTTTTTCAAAGGCTAAGTACTCAGCTGTAGTCAGAGCAAGACGAGGAGTTATAATACGCTCAATAGTAGGATCGTTAGCTAAGTTAAGAAATAATGCAACCCTCTCCATACTACCGTTCTCTTCAAAATCTTGTCTAAAGAAACGGGCTGTTTCCATATTAACACCCATAGCACCAAATACAACAGCGAAATTCTCATCTGAGTGATCTAAGACATCTTTTCCTGCAACAAGACTAGCTTGTCTGCATATCTGTGCACCTATCTCATTATGCGGAAGACCTGCAGCAGAGAAGAGAGGTATTTTTTGACCTCTAACAACTGAGTTCATAACATCAATGGTGCTTATCCCTGTCTGAATCATCTCTCTAGGATACACCCGGCATTGAGGGTTAATAGGAAAGCCGTTGATATCTAAATAATCTTCTGCTAATACTCGAGGCCCTCTATCTATAGGCTTCCCGCTCCCGTTAAATGCTCTTCCTAGCATATCTTCTGATATCCCCATCTTCAGAACATCGCCTCGAAACTCTGCATGACAGTGCCGGTTATCAATGCCAGACGTCCCTTCAAAAACCTGCACCACTGCGCGCCGACCCTTTATCTCCAGTACCTGATGCACACATACACCTTATATATATATATATATATATATATATCTCTCTCTCTCTCTCTCTCTCTCTCTCTCTCTCTCTCTCTCTCTCTCTCTCTCTCTCCCCCTCTATATATATATATATATTACATATATGTGCATAAATGTATATATATATGTGTGTGTGTATTCGTATGGATGTATTTACGTCTATGCATCTAGAAGTAATATGCATGGATGTGTCTAAGCGTGTACGTAGTGCCGAAGCAGAACAGAAGCAGCAGCACCAGCAACAGCAACAGGAAGGTGTTAACCCTCCTGCTGCTGCTTCTGCTGCTGCTGCTAAAAAAAGGAATGAACTGCTGCTGCGCCGTTTTAAAGGAGATGGAGGATACACAGCACGCCGCATGCATGCATTTAACTAACTAACTGCTGCTGCTGCTGCTGCTGCTGCTCTGCCTCTGCAGAACTCTAGGAAGCAGAAAGTCGATAGTTTGCAGCAAAATGGAAATAAGCATGCAGCTCATTGGCTCCACTTCCGCATGCGCAGCAGCATCTGCTGCTGCGTTTGCTGCAGTTGCTGCTGTTGCACCAGCATCACCAGCACCATCAGCATCACCAGCACCATGAGCATCAGCAGCATCAGCAGCAGCAGCAGCAGCAGCAGGAGGAGGAGCAGCAGCAGCTTACTTGTCCCTCTCGTACGCTTCCATCTCCTAAATGAAGAGTAACGATCTCGTAGTACTTTGGGAACTTAACATCATCAAACACAACCAAAGGACCCTCAGCGCCTGCAACTGTGCGGTAGTCAAGGCGAGGGGCTACGCGGTAGTCGCGAGTAACAGCTAAAATATGCTGCTTTGCTGCTTCTGCTCTAGAGAGAGATGCCTGCTGCTGCAGCGGCTGCTGTTGCTGCTGCGGAGCAGCAGCAACAACAACCCCACCCTTCTGAGACCCTGCAGGAGTCATCGCTGCTGCTGCAGAAACAAAAAATAAACTTCTTATTGAATAAAGAGAGATAGAAGAGACAAAGAAAGAAATACACACACACACACACACACACAAACTCTAACGTGAAACAGCCGCTGCAGCTGCTGCTGCCACCCAGGCAAGCAGCGAGAGAGAAGCCCCTAGAGGACTCTCACTGCAAATAAATAAAAATATTTAATTTAAATGATGCTTAGAATTATTCAACCGACTTCAAATGCATTTTGACTATACACAGCATGCCCTGCAACCAACAGCAGCAGCAACAACAACAGCAGCAGCAGCAGCAGCAACAGCAGCAGCAGCAGCGGCCAACAATGGAAGCCACGCAGCTTAAAGAAGCCGATCCCAGCCGCATGAGAACATTTTCTTTCTTTGCAATTAATGCAGTTAATTTCTCTGTCTTTTTTATTTTATTTATTTATTTATTTATTAAATATAACAACCATAACCCCTTAGTTGCAGCTGCTGCTCTTTCTTCGCCTCCTGCAGCAATATTAAAACCTACTTCTTAAAGCCTGTTAAATCTATGCTGTGGCTCTCTCTAGAAAGAGCAACATCAATACACCCTAAACCCTAAACCCTAAGCCCTCCTAAACCCTAAAGTAATTATGACGCAGCGGATGCCCACACCCCACGTCCCCGCCAGCTGCTGCTGCTGCTGCTGCTGCTGCTGCAGGCAGCAGCAAATCACATATATATGGAGGCTTAAGTGCGCCTAGCTGCACTAGCTAGCTAGCCAGCCTCGACCTGGCTAGCTAGAGATCAACGACTAGCTAGCTAACCACCCCTATAGCTAGCTGGCTAGCTGTGCTACAAAGAAACCCTCTTCACTTTAAATCTACAAAGAATAACAAAAGAAGGAAACAGACAAAATAAATTAGAAGCCGCCGTCGATACGCAGTACAGCTGCTTGCATGCATGCATGCAGCAGCGGTCTGTAAAGCTGCTGCAGCAGCAGCTGCTGCTGCTGCTGCTGCAGTGCCAAGAAGGCCCTCAGGCAGCAGCCAGCAGCAAATGCAGCAACACTGAAAGCTGACGCTGCATGCTTGACTGCTGACTCTGGGTAGTATCAGCACGAACAGCAGCAGCAGCAATAGCAGCAGCAGCAGAAGCAGCAGCAGCAGCAGCAACAGCAGCAGCAGTGGGGCTTCTCTTCTCCAGCGGATTCGGCGATGAGACACCAAAAAATAAATCCTAAACTGCGACTCCTCTCCCCCAAACATCAGCTAGCTGTCTAGCTGTCTAGCTAGCTAGCTAGCTAGCTAGCTAGCTCTATAGCTGGTTGTCTACCTAGCTTACAATATATCTATCTAGCTAGCTAGTCCTCTTTCTGGCTAGCTATATAGCCAGCTACTCATCTAGTTATATATCTAGATAGCTACCTATCTAGCTGTAGCTAGCTATCTAGCTAGCTAGCTAGCTATAGCGGCACTCTTCTGTCGAAGGAGACGCTAAACAACGGCTGGCGGATAACAGCGAGCCTGCTCGCCTGCGGAGGGCTTACGGTTTAGGGTTTAGGGTTTAGGGTTTAGGGCTATAACGAAGCACCGACTGCCGGCGGAAAGCAGAACGTAGAAGAGAGCAAAAATCAAACGCTGATTGTTGCTGCTGCTGCAGCAGCTACGGCAGCAGCAACAGAAAACCTGGCTGCTTGCAGCAGCTGCTGCTGCTGCTACTGTTGCTGCTGCTTCTGTTATAATTCCTGTTGTTGCTGCTGCTGCTGCCTAGTTGGTAGCATCAGCTTGCCATCAGTTGCTGCTGTTGCTACCGCTACTCCTGCTGCTGCTGCTGCTGCTGCTGCTGCTGCTGCTGCTGCTGCTGCTGCTGCTTAGTCTACCCCTATCTTTCGTTTTCTTTCCTCAAGTCTGCTGCAGTGCTGCTGCTGCTGCTGCACAACATCAGCTAGCACTGCTTTGTCTTGAAGCCACGCCCTAACGAAGCCTCTGTGCCTGAACACCTCTACACCGTCTAGAGATATTTGCTGCTGCTGTTGTTGCTGCTGCTGCTGCTGCTGTAAGTAGTGCCGCTCACCTGCAGCAACTCCCAGCTCGGCTGCTGCAGGATGCGTACGAAGAAGTTTGCTGCTCCTGCTGCTGCTGCTGCTGCTGCTGCTGCCGGGGACGTCCAAGAGGAAGTCTGCCTCAATGCCTAATAACTCTGAAGCAGCAGCACAGCAGCAAGAGCAGCAGCAGCAGCAAGTGTAGCAGCAGCAGCAGCAAGAATAGCACCAGCAGGAGCAGCAAGGCTAGCAGCGGCAGCACTGGCAAGCATGACTGCAGCAGCAGCAGCAGCAGCAGCAGCAGCAGCAGGGAGTTACCGCTGGGGTTTTCTTCTGCTTCTTGCAGCAGCAACTGATGCCTTCCTTCTTCGTGCTGCAGCTGCTGCTTCCTGAGTTCAAGGAGCAGCGACTCTGTCTGTGCTAGACTGCTTTTGTTTCTCTGATTTGCTGCTGCTGCACCGCTGCTGCTGCTGCTGCTGCTGCTGCTGGGCGGCACAATTCCTATAAGAGGATCCCGCAGCACAAACAGCCACGTATTATCCTGCCAGTCTTCTGCTGCTGCTGCAGTGCCCGTGTTGCAGTGTCTGTACACCTCAAGCTGAGAGCTTATCGCTAGCGAAGGAAGACTGCTGCTGCGCTGCAGCACAAGCCGCAGCAACTCCTGTGCACAAACCCCAAACCCCAAACCCTAAACCCTAAACCCTAAACCCTAAACCCTAAACCCTAAGCGGAGAAGACGTGCAACACGAAAAATGGCACCGTGAAAAAGGGAGAACGCACGAAACACCGAACAGCAGCAGCAGCAGCAGCTGCTGCTGCTGCTGCTGCTGCTGCATCCGCTTCAGCAGGCAAAACAAACGCTGCACGCTTCAGCAGCAGCAGCATTAGCAGCATCAGCAACAGCAGCACGCAGGACCAACCAAAGACGCAACAGCAACACTAGTGTACTGCAGCAACAGCAGCAGCAACAGCAACAGCTACAGCAGCAGCAGCAGCAGCACTAGCTGCAGCAGCAGCAGCAGCAGCAGCAGCAGGTAGCGACCTGTTTTGCAATGATGAAGATTTTATGAGCAGTTTCCCTCCGCACGAATGCAGCAGAACTCAGCCGTCGCAGCGCCTCCTGAAAACAAATGCAGCACGACGCTGTTTTGCTGCTGTAGCAGCAGCAGCAGCAGCAGCAACGGCAGCAGAATTATTGATGCAGCAGCAGCGAAACTCACACTCAGCGCCTGCAGCAGCAAACAACCATCAAAGGAGGACGGAGGGAGTCCATCAAGACAGCGTGTCGTCATTGTGGCTGCTGCTGCTGCTGTTGCTTGTGTTGTTGCTGCTGCTGCTGTTGCTGCTGCTTTTGTTCCTGCTGCTGCTGTTCCTGCTGCTGCTCTTGCTGCTGCTCTTGCAGCTTGAGATGGCGGAGTAAGCAAGGTAGCTGCAAACGCAGCAGCGGTGGTGCTGCAGTTGCTGCCGACTCGACTGCAACGGGGGGTTCAGCAATAGCAGCAGCAACAGCTGCTGCTACTGCAGCAGCAGCAGCAGCAGCAGCAGCAAGAGCTACCGCAGCAGGATGCGCTGTTGTTACAGCAGCCGCTGCTGCTTCTTTCTGCATGCACAGGCCATGCCTTATTACAAGAAGGAAGATTCAGACAAAGAGTTTCCTGCTGCTGCCGTCGTGTTGCTCTTGCTGCTGCTGCTGTTGCTGCTGCTGCTAGTGCTGCTGCTGCAGCTGCTGCTGTCTAGTGCTGCACACGAAGCTTAGCATATCGAAGCGATTGAAAAAGACGGCTTCATTTAAAAAGGAGGAAATTTCAATTTGGTGAGCTGCCCAAGGCGCTGTTGCTGCTGCTGCTGCATGCAGCAGCAGCAGCGGCAGCAGCAGCAGCAGCAGCAGCTTGCTGCAGCAGTTTGCCTTTGACCTCGACGCGAGCGAAGCAGCGAGCAGCAAGAAATATCTCTTTTTGAAGTTTTTGTGCTCTCCTATTTCAGCTGGAAACGCTTAATAGCAGCAGCAACAGCAGCAGCAGCAGCAGCAGCAGCAGCAACTGCAGCGGGGACAACCAGGAATACCACCCCCATGTCTTCCTGCACTGAGGCGCTGCTGCTGCCCTTCCTGGCGCTGCTGCTGTCTTACTCCCCCGAGCAGCGTCAGCTGCTTCGACAGCAGCAGCAGCAGCAACAGCAGCAGCAGCAGCAACAGCACCAGCAGCAGCAGAAGAGGGGGTTGCTGCTGTTGAGTGCTAAATTGCCGTTCCCTACATCCGTACTGAAGACACAATCCCCGCTGTGCTGCAGCAGCAGCAGCGGCTGCAGCACCACCGATAGCAGCAGCAGCAGCAGCAGCAGCGTGCTGCTCTGCTCTGTCGTTAGCAGCCAGAGCAGCAGCAGCAGCTGCTGCTGCTCTTGAACACTATTTGGAGCAGCAGCACGAGCAGCGCAGCAGCTGGCAGCAGAAACAGCAGCATCAGCACAGTAGCACAAAAGCAGCAGCAGCAGCAGCAGCAGCAGCGACGCGAATGCAGCAGCGGCAGCTGCAGCGGCCTGACCGCAGCCCCCGCGTTGATAAGCTGCTGTCTGCAGCTACTGCAGCAGCAGCAGCAGCAACTGCAACAACAGCAGCAGAAGCCGCAGCAGCAGATCGTGCTAATGCTCCGCGTGCCCCGCGCTCTTCGCGTTGCAGCTTCACACAACAGCTGGCAGCAGCAGCAAAAGATGCAGCTGAACTTCTTGCTGCTGCAGCAGAGAAACGATGTGCTGCTGCAAGGCTTGTTGCTGCGCTGCCGCAGCAGCAGCTGCAGCAGAAACAGCAACAGCAACAGCAGCAGCTCCGCCCGCGTCACTCTTGCGGCCCTGTTACCGTAGGAGCAGCGGCAGCAGCAGCAGCAGCAGCAACAGCAGCAGCAGCAGATGAAGGTTGTGCTGCAATGGAGCGCCGCAGGCGGAAGAGTGCCGGGGCTGCAGCAGCGCCAGGCATATCAGCAGCAGCAGCAGCAACAGCAGCAGCAGCAGCAGCAACAGCAGCACGAGGCGACTGCCTCCTTCAGGAACAGCTGGCAGAGCGGCAGCAGAAGCTGTTGAGGCGGCAGCAGCTGCTGCAGCAGCGGCAGCAGCAGCAGCAGCTGCGCATGCTGCAGCGGCAGCAAGATTCTTCAAACGAACTCCAGGCATATCAGCAGCAGCAGCAGCAGCAGCAAGATGCATTGGAGGTGATTGATTGGGAAGGAGAGGGTCTGCAGCAGGTCAGCAAACCCTTCCTGCAGCAGCAGCAGCAGCAGCTGCAGCAGCAGCCGGTGCAACAGCAGCAGCAGCCCGTGCAGGAGCAGCAGCCGTTGCAGTGGGTTCCTAGAAGCAGCAGCACACGCAGCAGCAGCAGTAGCAGCACCAGGCCCTCGAGTTCTGCCTACCAGCGCATGCACGGCAGCAGCAGCAGCCCCCGCTGCAGCAGCAGCAGCAGCCAAAGTCTCGTGCTGTTGTCTGAGGCTCCAGCGAGATCTGATTCGGCAGCAGCAGCAGCAACTGCTGCTGCTCTAGACGCCCCTTATATGGTGCGCAGTGCTGCAGCAACAGCAACATCAGCAGCATCAGCAGCAGCAACAAGCACGCGCTACAGCAGGAGCAGCAGCCGGAGCAGCGTACGAAACAGCAGCAGCCCCCTGAGTGCTGCTGCTGCTGCTTACTTTGCTGCTTTTGCTGCAGACGATGCAGCAGCAGCATCAACACCCCAAGCCCATTCGCCTGCAGACGCAGCAACAGCAGGACCAGCAGTAGCAGCAGCAGCAGCAGCAGCAACGCCCGCAGGCAGCAGCAGGACTCGACTGATCATAAAGCGCAGCAATCTTCCTGCTGCTGCTTCTGCTGCTGCTTCTGCTGCTACTGCTGCTTCGGCTGGTGCTGCTACTGCAGCAGAGCCTCCGGTGATGTATGATTTCTGCTGCTCGAGTGGTGCTGCATCAGCTGCAGAAAGCCCTGTGGGGAGAGCAGCAGCAGCAGCAGCAGCAGCAGCAGCAGCTGCTGCTGCTGCTGCTGCAGCAGCAAACCTCACGTCAGCAGCACTTCGCCTGATGCCCTTTCTAATTCCATACGAAGCAGCACAACACGAGCAGCAGCAGCAGCAGCAGCAGCAGCAGCAACTCGGTGGGCCTCAACTTTGGGTGGAGAGGCTGCAAGGGGTGCGGCTGCGCATAGCAGCAGCAGCAACAACAACAGCAACAACAGCAGAAGCAGCAGCAGCAACTATTGCCTCCCTACAAAGCCGCAGTGTGGAGGTTGCTGCTTCTCTCCCTGATGCTTTCGGCAGCTGCAGCGTGCGGTGTACGTGCAGCAGCAACGAAAGCAGCAGCAGCAGCAGCAGCAGCAGGAAGGAGCAGCAGTTCTGCCATGTCCCGTTCGCTGCTGCCGTTGCTGCTGCTGCAGCAACTACAGCAGCAGAAGAGGAGGCCTTCTCTGTGCTGCATGCAGACCTCCTTGACCTTAAGTTTCACTGGTGGCGAGGTGTTGCTGCTGCTTGGCAGCAGCAGCAGCTCCCGCTGCTGCAGCAGCAGTTGTCGCTGATGCAGCAGCCCCCGCAGCAGCAGCAGCAGCGGCAGCAGCAGCAGCAGCAGCAGCAGCAAGCATATGCTGCCTGGGTCGGCTGCCTCACCGCCGCTACTGCTTCCTTCATGCCATCTGCTCGTGAACTGCTTCCAGAAGCAGCAGCAGCAGCAGCAGCAGCAGCAGCAGACGCTGCACAGCAGCAGCAGCAAATGGGGAGGCCCGCGCTGTGGCAGTGGCTGTGGGGTGCTGCAGAGGCCTTTGGGTTTTGCTGCAGCAGCAGATTTGCTGCCTTGCAGCTGCTTGACGCCTACGCTGCGCATCCTTCCTTTCCGTTCAAATGTACCTGCAGCAGCAGCAGCAGCAGCAGCAGCGGAGGTGACGGCTGCAAGTGCTGCAGCAACAGAGAGCTGGCTCTCTGCTCGACTGCTGCTTTGCTGCTTGCTGCAGCGCTGCGCTGTCACTGGAAGGATATTGCTGCGGATCAGTTCCTGCAGCAGCTGCTGCTACAGCTGCAGCAGCAGCAACAGCAGCAGCAGCAGCAGCAGCAGTTCTTTACGCTGGACGATGTAATAATGGTGCAGGCCGACATGCTGCAGCTGCTGCCGCCGTCGCTTGGGCTGTCTCTAACTGCTGCTGATTGCATTTTGCTGCAGCTTGCTGCTATTAGGGATTTCCCGCTGCTGCTGCAGCACACACCTCAGGCGCATGCAACAGCTGCTGCTGCTGCTGCTGCTGCTGCTGGGAAGGCAGCTGAAGAAGCACCAGGAGAGGGTGCTACCCTTGGATGCCGCTTGTTGCTGCAGCAAGACCTACAGCAGCAGCCGCAGCAGCAGCACTTTCATGTCTCCCCCCACGGCAACAGCAGCAGCAACAGCAGCAGCAGCAACAGCAGCAGCAGCAGCAACAGCAGCAGCAGCAAGCGGTGGGTCCTGTTGTCTTTATTTGACTTCCTCTCTGCCACTGGTCTCCTCGCTTGTCTTCATGATTTGCTAATGCGTTGCTGCTACGCTGCAGCAGCAAACGGCTTGCTGCAGCAGGTCCCTGGCAGCAAGCTGACAGGCGTGCTGCTGCTGCTGCTGCTGCGCCCGTACGCACAGCGCCAGCAGCAGCAGCAGCAGCAGGGTGAGCTGGAGGTGCTTGAGTGGGAGCGCTGCTGCTGCTGCTATATATTGAAGTGCCGCTATGATTCAGACTTTTACTTCTGGCGGGGGCTGCTGCCGC